AGTAGTAACATAACAAAAACAAACAACTAGTGATTAGCTAGCCACATGAAAGATGAAACTATCAGATTTCAAGTCGATAAAACTTCCGCAATTCTATTGCAGTTCAATTGTTCCCTGCACACCAACATACTTAATAATACAAAACAGAACTGTCAGGCATATGTAGCAGAGAGGAACCTGTGGACGCAGCATGGTGTAGAGCAGTCTATCCTTTGTCATCTGATTTCATTAGTTCACCACCATGACCAAGTAAATACTTCACAGTTGAAACATCGCCCGACTGAGCAGAAGGCATAACCGGTGTCAGACCTGCAATGAAAGCATAAAAGCACATTTTACATATCTCATACAGCCAAGTGACGGAAGTAATACATGACAGGCGGCTCAGAAGGGTTGAAGAGTTAGTGAAGTACCTTTATATCCAGTGATATTAGGATCACCCTCAAGTTCCTCGACCAGGTACTTGCAAACGTCCAGATGTCCTTGGCATGCTGCGCAGTGCAGCACCCTAAGACCATGCTTTTCAGTAATAGAAAAGACTGCTGCTCGGTTGGCAATCCCTATGCCAAGGGTCTTTATGATACCTTTTGTCCGAAGCATATACAAGAATAAATCACCAGTAAGAAAATAAGCAACATATAATGCCCAGCCAAAAACTCACTAATGCGAAGGTAACTAAGCAAGATGCAGCAAGCACGCCACATTCGGGACACAGATATTGTAAAGACCTGTGTGGTATATTTGGCAAGGCACACATATTTCAAAGACCTATGTGGTAAAAATAAAAGGACTACTTCTCGATTGACAATTCCATTGCCAAGAGTCTTTATGGTGCCGTTTGTCCAAAGCAAATGCAAAAAAAAAAAAAAAAAAAAAAAATCACTAGGTGAAGATAACAGAGCAAGATGCAGCAAACACAGGGCATTCTGCAAGACGCATATATATTGCAAAGGCTTATGTTTAGACTACAGTACTTGAGAAGGCCCAAATTGAAGAGGCTGGAACTGGAACATAATTGTGGAAATGGCACATCCCATACTGGCCAAGGTTTAGAGTTAAGACCAATGAACTAAAGGTGCAATGTAGCATCCGATCCACTACGCAACAGAGTAATTTGTCATTTACTACACCACTAATCCAAAGCCGACTTTTAAGTCATGAGCGTTGTAAAACTCAAATTTCTACCTTAATACAATGATATGCAACGAGAGAAAAAAAAAAGTCATTATAAGATCGGAGCAGACACATACAGCTAGTACAAAACATTTAAAAAGAACTCCAAAGACAGGAGGTGATGAAATAATGTGGATAGGTGCATCAGCACTGATTCAGATCAACCCCCAAGACGGAGGCGATGTAAACAAGTTTACTTGTGACAAGCCAACACCAAATTGAACTGGACTCGCTAGCTAGGGTAATCTGATTCGGCATGGGAGCACGCAAGGGCCCAACAAACTTTGCAATTGGTCGATACGGTGATGGAGAGAATATGGTGGGCTAGTGGGTACCTTTGACGCGGGGGAGGTCCCCCTCCATGGCGGCCTTGAGGAGAGCGGTTTCCGCTGCATATACAAATGTAGACACAGAACACGCGAATACGCGATCGAGAATGTGAGCAACTGACAACGTCATCGGAAACGCACGTGGGCGCCCCTCTCGAGATGAGTAGGCAGCAGGGCGGAGGGGTGGAAATGCCCAAATGGAAGTGCGGAAGGGGAGCGAGAGTGGAGGAGGACGTACTGTTGCCGTCGACGGAGGAGCGGCAGTGGATGCAGGGTGCCGCCATGGCTCTGATCGGCTCGGCGGTCTCGTCACGCTCGCTCCCCCCACCCTCTCGCCTGATCGATCGCCTGGCGTGCGGCAGGCTACCTTGTCTCTCTCGCCTCGTCGCGGGGAAGGAGGGGCGAAAATCTCTCCCTTCTTCCGGCGGAAGGAGACGCGGGTGGCCCACCGACGGCTGATGGGTGTGACCAGGCCGAGGTGCGGTGCGCGGGCAGGGGGCATTTGCGGCCCATAACATAACAAGGCTGGGCCTCGAAGAGGCAGCCAAGCTCAATCCAAACGCGACACACAAGTTGTCCCTTTAACAAAGAAAAGAATCGGCCCCTCAAAAAAAAGAATCGGTAATACTACGACATGGGCGTTCATGCCGTGACCCACGTCCGGACGCCTACATCGTACGGCACCGCTCGCGCCACTAGCCAGCATCGCTCTGCTCACCCCCGTACCCAAAAAAATCTCATCCCTCGCTTCCTCCTCCCTTCCGCTCGCCCCGCCTCCACCCGAGGCGCCGCCATGGTCTGCTTCCTAGGCAGCGGCGATGCCCTCACCGCCCCTACCATGTGCCCTCCTCCACCCCGGCATCTTCCACCCTACCCTACCACAACAGCACCCTCCCCCCACCCCGGTGTCCTCACCCACCAGGAGCGCCCAACGCCCATGGATCCATGGAGATGGGCGCGACGGTGTTGCAGGGGAGTGGGCGGCTCTTCCCCACCCTGACGCGGCGCCCTCCCACCCCTGGCGGCACACTTTCTCAACCCGGCGACCAAGCTCCTCCCACCCCGGCGCCCATGGTGCTCTTCGTCCCCCATCCCCCCACCGTCTCCACCGAGCCAAGCCCCGTTCTAGTGGCACCGGTGGCAGTGGTCCTTGCACCCAGCCACTCGCTGCCGTCTCCGAGCTCGACGACCGAAATCGACCGGTCCAGCCTTTCGCTCCCCTAGTTGCATATGTATGTTTCAAGTGTTTCAGGTGTTACAGATGTATGTTGCAATTTTTTCATATGGATGTTGCAAAAGTAGATCGGGGATGTTGCATATGTTGCAAGTGTTTGAGAGGCATGTTGCAAGCGTTCAATTAAAATGTTTCATCTATTTCCTCACGTATGTTGCAATCGTTTTGATCTAGATGTTGCATATGTTTTCAAAGATATGTTGCAACAGTATGTTCCAAAATGTTTCATCTGTTTCAGTCTTCTGTTGTAGCAATTGTTTTCATGTTGCAAGTTGCAAGTGTTCTATCTGGATGTTGCATATGTTTTCACACATATGTTGCAAGTGTATGTTCCAAATGTTTCACCTATTTTAGACTTATGTTGCAAGTGTTTTTATCTGGATGTTGCATATGTTGTAGTGGTTATACACATATGTTGCAATCGTATGTTTTAATTGTTTCACCTTGTTTCAGTATGTTGCAACAAATGCTTTACGGTGCAAGTGTTTCATCAGCAGGCGCGGCTATGAGGCACAGGCAGAGGTGGTCCCCTCGGGCGTAGCGGTCCCCGTGTGCGCGTGGGAAGCCAAGCGGGCGCGACAGCAGGCGCGGAGCACAAAGCACCATGGGCGTGGCAGTAGGCGTGGAGCACGAAGTTGCATCCATGCTCGGTTGCGCTCTCTCTCCTTGTTCTAGATTGACATGGCCGGTCAGCAGCAGCATCACACGGCAGCAGCAGCATGCGGGCAGCAGGAGTGTGCGTCTAGTCGTGGCCCGTCGCTGCTGCTCCTGATGGCAGAGGGCACAATAATTTCCCCGACAAGCATGCATGGTCAAATCAGGACCTAGCGACAGAGGAGGGGAGCACATGCGGGCGCATCAATCTAGCAAATTATAATAGTGGGCAGCAAGCGCGGGGCAGCAGCATCATGTCCGGTGGAGGCGGGGGCAGCACACGCGGGGTGTCCAGACATGCTGCTAGCGCCGGACATCCGGGCGCTAGCATAGCCAAAAAAATGTCCCTTGGAAAACCTCACAGTGCGCTCACTCAACTACAAATGAAAGAACAGGCAATACATGAGGATTTGTTGGTTGATAATTAGGGACGGCTTGTGTTTTGACCTATCAGGTCCGGCCTTCTTTTTTATGAAGAATTCTAAAGTATTTCTCTCAAGTTTGGCCTATGTCTGGATCTTAAACTAATATTTTGTTCGATTCATTCCTTCAACCATTCTCTTGGTTCAATTTACCCATTAAGCAAATTTGTATTTTTTTCCTCCACGTGCAAGGTGAGTTGGAAATTCAAATTGTATTTTTTTCATCATTATGTTTTAGATAATTTTATATTTCTAGTGTTAATTTTTTATTGGATGTCTAATATGTAAAAATAACAATATAAACTATGAAGCACTTTTTTAATATAAATTATTGTGTACCACCTCACAAAATTCAAAATTAAGAATCAACTTAAAAATAGAAAAAAGTAAATTTTGTAAAAGGAGTAAACTGGAACAACTCAAAAGTCTAAGAGCCTGTTTTGGTTGGCCTAGCTTCCTCCAGCTCCGGCTCTCTTCCTGTAGCGCCTTGTAGTGCAGAGCCGGAGGAGCCAAGGAAAGGCAGCTCAGCTGGCTCCAGAGACAAGGATAGAAGGAGCCGGACTGCGGAGCCAGTTTGCCATTGCCAGTGGCGCACAGTCGCACTTTTCACTTTCGAGCCGGAGCTGCCCGGGCAGGAGCCCTGCTAAAGACATCCTAAGTCAGGTTTAACCCTACATTGATTTACGTCTCCTTTGGATACCTCCGTGAATGGGTGATCCAAAGGAGCCCTTAGGCGGATATATGGACATCGGACAAACTCAAGAAAGTAATTTCAATTTTTTCCTTTCTTTTGATATAATAATAGCAGATCACCTGTTGGATTATTAACAAAAACAGAGATGAACAACGCAATCAACACACAACCATGCAAAGAAATATCAAAGTTAGGGGTAGGCAAGTAGTAAGTAGTGGCAATGTGGCATGTACACATCAAATTCTCCTTCAATTAAAAGCTATTTGTAAACTCTGTCATCAATAAAACATAGACCTATTTTTTATCATTTCATATTATGCTATAGTCAGTCAATAAAAGAACATAAATAAGCAAACAGGAGAACACATGCACCATAAAACAAAATTAGCAATTACAAACTTGCCCTTTCTTTACTCCTTCAGATTGTTATTGCAACTTCAAAATTTCTCAAACAAAATATTATAAACATCAGCTTCAAAAGTATTTGTAGATTATTACATTGAAGACACATCTGCACAATGTGTTATAGCGGCAAGCAATCTTGGCATCGGGGGTATATCAAACTCTTGGAGACCATCAAGAACTCGGACCACTTCATCCATTGCTGGCCGGTTGAAGTCATTATCTTGGATGCACCAACATGCAACTCTGCAAACCCTTTCGACTTGTTGCATATTGAAGTCGCCTTGTAATTCTGGGTCCACCAAACTCTGCAGGTCTCCCTCATGAAGCTTGTTGATGACTTGCACAGGGAAATAAGAGACATGGTAACTGTTACCGGTATGCACTTGTGGTGAGTTCCTTGTTCCTGATATGATTTCCATCAATACCATACCGAAACTGTAGACATCAACTTTTGGTGTAATAGCAACTCCACTAAGCCACTCGGGGGCAAGATACCCTGCAGTGCCTCTGAATGTAGTTAGAACTCGGCTATAGTCTCTTCCCACACACGCTGCCATCCCGAAGTCTGCAATTTTAGGAACAAATGAAGCATCGAGAAGTATGTTTTCTGGCTTGATATCACAGTGTATGATGCATTCACGACAACTCTTATGCAAGTAGAGCAATCCTCTAGCAACTCCTATGGCTATTTGATACCTGGTATTCCAATTAAGGACAGGAGAATTGCTCTTAAACAGATGCCCATCAAGAGATCCATTTGGCATGTGTTCATAGACAAGTAGTCTCTTGTCTCCACCACAACAGAAACCAATCAATTTGACTAGGTTGATATGTTGGATCAATCCGATTGAGCTCACCTCAGCCCTGAATTGCTTCTCTCCTTGACGAGCACCATCAAGCCTCTTCACTGCTATGATAGTTTTGTCATTTAACACTCCCTTGAATACAGAACCAAAACCACCTCCTCCTAGCCTTTCGGAGAAATTTTTAGTAGCACGGCACAAATTGTTGTATCTAAAGGCTATAATTCCCCCACCAGTACCTTGCATGTCATGTAGTTGAGCATTGCACCACATGGATCTGTTCCTCCGAAACATCAACAACAGCATGAGCATTATTAACCCAAAACCAGCAGTGCTTGCAACAATAACAAGTCTTGATATTCCTCTGTTGTTTTTCACCATACTTTGATAATCTCTCTCAGCAAGGCGAATGTAAAGAACATCCTGAGAAACAATACCATTACCATCATCCTGATTTACATTAAGCAATTCTCCATGCCACATAGAGCATATACTGTTGTTATAGGCATAAGCAGTGCAAGAGCAATCTCTGAGGCAAGCTCCCGCGCAATCGCTCTGCGTAGTAGCATCTTGTAATCTCCGGGGATCATAGGGCAATGTCACATGAGCTATAGGGTGGAACACATCAGCGGACCTAGCTGTGCTTGTGTTGCTAGCAATGCAGTCTAACGGAGTATTTCTGGCACACCCTCCTGTCCGATCATCAAGCTCCCAAGCATGAGGCGACCTCTGAGAGAAGCCCTCCATACAGCCACAGAATGGACTAGTATTGCCATTGCAGACCGTGAAAGGTCCGCACACGGCATACGTTGTGCAGAAATCAGAAGGCTGTGCATACACGGTCTGCCAAGACTCCGTGGCTTGCGACCAAACATTCAGCTCTAGTTGACCGGTGATGCTTATTGGAACAAATATGGAAGATGAGTCATCCAGCAAGGTGTAAGTGAAGGACACCTCTTCGTCGTTATCGACAAATGTGGGCTTAAGTAAACCTTTAGTCCGTGGATCCATTTCTAGCAGTGCGGTCAGCACCGATACAAGCTCCCCTAGCTTTCCAGACGGCCAAGTCCAGTACGCTACAAAGGGGGGCTTGCGGCTTCTAAGTAGCAACACCCCGTCGGCGTCTATTTCGACGGAGTATGAGCCGAGGCTAGGATCTATCAGGCTCTTCTTTGAGATGAACTGCCGGCTAAACCCTGTGACCTTGTTTCGTCCTACCTTGGCACCAGGAAGCCCGACATCCGTTGGGTAGTCGAAGCTCTGCCACAACGGTGCTACTGCTGGGTTAGATGCTGTTGTGTTTGGTATGACGGCAAGGTTTCCGGTGCTCATGAGAACAGCACTGGTGTTGCTTGTGCTGTTGACAACAATGTTGTCAGTGATGGACCAGAGTATGGATGGTTTAGTACTGGTGGCATTGTTTAAGATGATGACGAGGTTGCCATTTCTTGAGATTTTGAGCTGTGCTAGCTTGACCTCGGTGTCAGTGATGGGTCTCTCCCTATTAGCAACCCAAACAGTGGTGAGAACTGGGATCTTGTTGAACCATATGCCGAGGTACCAGCCAGGGGAGGAGGTGGTGGTGGTGACGGTGCTGGGGGACTTACTGATGTTGCCTGTGGCTGGGACTTGATGCTGGAACTGGAAGAAGCCGAGCGCGAACTTGCCGTTGCTTGAGACCAGCTTCTCACCCATGCCGAGGGCCTCGCCCGCCGCAAGAGTATCACTCCTCGCTGTTGCTGCCAGACATGTGGTGTGCAAGGAAGAGCACAGGAGAAGCCCTCCGAGTAACATGTGCAGGAGCGCCATGGCTGTAGAAAATATGTATGGATGGATGGATGGACTGCTACTCGTCGGAGGAGGAAGAAGAGAGGATATATAGAAAGTGGAAGAAATATAGCTTCGACTGCCTATGTTCAGGTAACGTGGAAGAAATAGCAACGGCGCTACAGGTCCAACTGCCTGCATGTTCAGCACTAAACCTTTCTTTTTTATATTTTTTTGGTACGGAGATCAGCCATCACCACCAGCAACCTGACCTTCCTGCCAGTTGTACAAGCTATTTTTTAAAAACGAGTTGTACAAGCTAATTGGTACAACTACAACCACAATGCCAGGAGAGGTATGTACTCCTTATATCAACCCAAAACTGTCATACAAGATGGTACTTTGGTTAGCCAATTCTGTAGAAATATGGCATTTCAAATAAAAAGAATGCTACATATTTGTGGAACTGAGGTATGTACTAGTATTTCTCAAAGTCAATATAACAATGATAACGTCATTAGGAAACATAACGTCAAGTATTTTATGATCAATTGCAAATGATTGTCAACGCCATAGAATCCTAGAGAACCACTTAAATCTCAGATCTTAGGGTGTCTTACCATAGAAAAAGTACAGGGGCTTAGCCGCCCCTGTATATTCCAGTCTCCGTCAGCTTCATTTGACCAGGCAGTGCTGCACTGCTGCCAGCCATGCTCAATCACGAGGCTTGGCGTCACGATGCAGATGGAGCTGATGCCTCCACCGGCTCGCCCCATACATGCAGATGGAGATGGAGCTGATTCCATTCATGCCACGCACTGGGAAATAGAATTCTTTTTTCAGTGTTTAGAGCACACATATATAGTAACATAAACAGTCTCCTCTGATGGGCTCAGGGTCCTTATGCTCGAGACTGTTGCATTGGGCCCTTCTTGGCCTTCCTGTTCCTAGGTATTCAGAGCCTTTTCAGATCCTGGAGCACTTCAAAGTTCAGCATGCAGTTCCCAGCTCGTTACAAATTCATCTTCAAGGAGGTCTTTGCCCTACCATCGCGCAAGAGATGTTTTTTTTCTAATTAGTTCATGGCTAGAGAGCTTTGTGTAATCTTTTTTATCTATTTTTTCTCTTTGTCTGTCTCTTAAACCTTGTTTGTTGCACCTTTTGCCTCTTCCTTTTAATATGTTTTCAGTACAGATTTCGGTCCATTCTGTTTTCTAAAAAAAAGGAGAAAACCCACAAAAATTGCTAAAGCATTCCTCTTCCAAAAGAACCCAACCCAGAGTCATTTATTTTGACATCTCTTGTAACGCCCCAGGCCCGGCACACGGCACAGGCCCACTCTACCAAGGGGTGGGCCCCACCTACGTAGCAACCCGCTGCGCTTTCGTCTTCGCTTCTCGCAAAATGGTTAACCGAAAGTTACTACCACTACCGGAAACCGGCGATTTACCGAGTGCCGGAGGCTTTGCCGAGTGTATTTTATCGAGCACTCGGCAAAGACCGTGTTTGCCGAGTGCCAGAAAAATACACTCGGCAAACAAAAACACACGGCAAAATACGTCTTTGCCGAGTGTTTTTTTCTGGCACTCGGCAAAGAGGCTTTTTGCCGTGTGCATTTTTTTTGGCCCTCGGCAAATCAGTTTTTCGAAGCAATTTTTGAGGCCCTAAATGAATTCAAATGAAAAACTTTTCAACTACAAAGTTGTATAACTTCTCAAGATCTACAAAGTTTATTTTGGTCATTTCTTTATTTGACAAAGCGACAATAACGTTGTTCATAAAATCTACATCACTCATATCTCTCATATTAGTTTCATGAAAGTAGAAGACAGATATATAAGATTTGTGAACAATGTTACTACCACTATGTCAGATGAACAAATGACCAAAATAAACTTTGTAGATCTTGATAAGTTATGAAATTTTGTAGTTGGCAACATTTTGATTTGAAATCATCTTGTCATGCAAAAACGATGTTTGAATTTGAAAATTTTAAAATTTGAATTTTTCAAAAGACCTCGGATGGAAAAACTTCCTAAATGAAAATTGTAGATCTGCAAAAGTTATGAAACTATGTAGTTGATAACTTTTTGATTTGAAATCATCTTATCATGCAAAACTACGTTTGAATCTCTCAAATTTAAAATTCAAATTTTTCAAACGACCTCGGATGGAAAAACTTACTAAATGAAAATTATAGATCTCAAAAAGTTATGAAACTTTGTAGTTGACCACTTTTTGATTTGAATTCATTTAGGGCCTCAAAAAAGTAATTTACTCTCAGTTTGCCGAGTACCTTTTTTCACGGCACTTCGGCAAAGCCGTATTTTGCCGAGTGCCTATGTTTTGGCACTTTCGGCAAAGAGGCATTTTGCCGCAGCATTTTTTTTGCCCTCGGCAAATCAGTTTTTCAAGCAATTTTGAGGCCCTAAATGAATTCAAATGAAAACTTTTCAACTATTAAAGTTAGATAACTTCTCAAGATTTACAAAGTTTATTTTGGTCATTTCTTCATTTGACAAAGCAACAATAACGTTGTTCATAAAATATACATCTCTCATATCTCTTATATTAGTTTCATGAAAGTAGAAGAGAGATATATATGATTTGTGAACAATGTTACTACCACTATGTCGGATGAACAAATGACCAAAATAAACTTTGTAGATCTTGAGAAGTTATGAAATTTTGTAGTTGGCAACATTTTGATTTGAAATCATTTTGTCATGAAAAACGATGTTTGAATTTGAAACTTTTAAAATTTGAATTTTTCAAAAGACCTCGGATGGAAAAACTTCCTAAATAAAAATTGTAGATCTCCAAAAGTTATGAAACATTGTAGTTGGCAACTTTTTGATTTGAAAATATCTTGTCATGCAAAACTGCGTTTGAATTTTAAAATTTTAAAATTCAAATTTTATAAACGACCTCGGATGGAAAAACAACCAAAATAAACTCTGTAGATCTCGAAAAGTTATGAAACATTGTAGTTGGCAACTTTTTGATTTGAAAAAATCTTGTCATGCAAAACTGCGTTTGAATTTCCAAATTTTAAAATTCAAATTTTGTAAACGACCTCGAATGGAAAAACTTCCAAAACTAAAAGTGTAGATCTCGAAAAGTTATGAAACTTTGTAGTTCACAACTTTTTTATTTGAATTCGTTTAGGGCCTCAAACAAACAATTTACACTCGGTTTAGTATAATATATTGGGAACTAAAACGGAATCTAGACACAAGTGACAGTGTGGTGTAGTGGTAAAGGAGGTTCCTGCGTAGCAGGAGGTCTCGGGTTCGAATCCCGTCGGCCACATAGCCGTGAAATTTACGCGAAAAAAGCCGGAGATGGATGGGCGCTGACTGGTGGGGGCCTCCATCAATTAAAAAAAAATTACATTTTTTTTGGTAAAAATTCTCATTTTTTCGGGTTTTTTTTCGGTTCCAACTTTGCCGAGTGTCCGCCCTTGCCGAGTGTCCGACACTCGGCAAAGCCTTTGCCGAGTGCCCGACAAAAAACACTCGGCAAAGACATCTTTGCCGAGTCATTTTTTACCGAGTGTAATTCGCCGAGTGTTACACTTGATGAACAATTCGCCGAGTGTTTTATGCCTTTTGCCGAGTGTTCGGGACACTCGGCAAACTCAACGAGTCCGGTAGTGTACGCGTCCTTGGCCTGGCTATTTAAGTCAGTCTGGCCGTCCTAGTATTCGGACTAACCCCCTGGTTGTACAGTGACCGAGCAACAGTAACCCAGAATTGGCCCGGCCCGATTCGTCACTACAGTGTTTGTAGCTGCAGTACTCGGCCCACATCCCACCTGTGCAGTTACAGTACCTTGGCCCAATCGGAATTCAGCCCATTTAACGGGTCTTCACATCTCTGAAACATATATATAGGAAAAATTTGGAGAGAGAGAACTCAAAAGCTCTGTCCTATATAACAGAGCAGAGCAACTCAGCTAGCAGACATCCTCAAAGAAGCAGCATATCTCTAAGGTCAGCAGTCAGTAGTGGGCTACCGGCATACATCCAATTCTCCATAAATAAAACATACACATATCACCATCTTTTGCAGGATTTTTGCTACAATCAGCGTAAATGAACAAACAAGAGACACATCCACCATGAACACAAATTGACAGTTGAAATCTTGCCCTTTTATTCTTTCAGATTCGCCATACAACTACCACATGTCAACATTTGCTGAAAAAAACTACTACAAAGTACGGTGAATTATTACATTAACTCCACATCGGCGTGTTCCGTTATAGCTGCAAGTAGTCTTGGCATTGGAGGCATATCAAGTTCCTGGAGACCCTCGAGAACCCGAACAACATCAACCATTGTTGGCCGATCACATTCGTTGTCTTGGATGCACCAAAATGCAACTTTGCACAACCTTTCGGCCTCTTCCAAATTGAGGTCTTCCTGTAATTGTGGATCAACCAAACTCTGCAGGTCTCCCTCATGAAGCTTCCTGATGGCCTGCACCGGGAAATACGCAACATGGTAGCTGCTCTTGCTGAAAACTTCTGGCGTGTTCCTTTTTCCGGATATGATTTCCAACACTACCATACCAAAGCTATAAACATCGACTTTCGTGTGATAGGAATTCCACTAAGCCACTCTGGGGCGAGATACCCTGCTGTCCCTCTAAACGTAGTCAGGACTCGGCTAAAATCCCTCCCTACAAACACTGCCATCCCAAAGTCTGCAATTTTCGGAGCAAACGACGCATCAAGAAGTATGTTCTCTGGCTTAATGTCACAGTGTATGATGCATTCACGGCAACTCTGGTGCAAGTAGCACAATCCTCTTGCAACTCCAATGGCTATTTTATACCTTCTGGTCCAATTCAGGACAGTAGCGTTGCTCTGAAATAGATGGGCATCAAGGGACCCATTTACCACATGCTCATACACGAGTAGCCTCTTATCACCTTCGCAGCAAAAACAAAACAATTTGACTAGATTAATATGCTGGATCATCCCAATCGAGCTCACCTCGGCCCGGAATTGCTTCTCTCCTTGGCGTGCATCGTCAAGTCTTTTCACCGCAATAGCTGTCGAGTCTCCTAACAGTCCCTTGAACACAGAACCAAAACCGCCTCCTCCAAGTCTGTCACTGAAATTTTTGGTAGCACAGCATAAATCGGTGTATTTAAAGGCTATAATTCCTCCGCCGCTATCTTGGATGCCGTGTAACGGAGCATTGCACCACTTGACTCTGTTCCTCCAGATCATAAACACTAGCATGAGCACTACTATTCCAGAACCAACAACACTTGCGGTAATTGCAACCGTTGGTGTTCTTTTGTTGGTTCTGTTCAAACTCTGAAAATCACTTTTAGCAAGGCGAAGGTAAAGAACATCTTGAGAGCTAAAAGCATTGCTGTCGGCCTGGTTTACGTTAAGCAGGTCTCCATGCCAGACAGAGCATTTACCATTGCTATAAGAATAAGCTGTGCAATTGCAGTCGCCGAGACAAGCTTCCGCACAATCGCTTTGTGCGGCGACGCCTTCTATTCCCCGGGGATTATAGGGCAAGGTCACTTGAGCTATAGGGTGGAACACATCTGTCGAACCTGATGATGTACCGCTTCTGTTGCTAGCTTTGCAGTCCAAGGGAGTTCTTCTTGCACACCCTCCTGTCAGATCACTAAGCTCCCAATCCCGTGGCGACGTCTGAGAGAATGTCTCCATGCAGCCACAGAACGACGACGTGCCTGAACCTGAATTGCCATTGCAGACCGTGAAAGGTCCACAGACGGCAAACGTGAGGCAGAAATCAGAAGGCTGGGCGTAGATGGTCTCCCAAGACTGCTTGGATTCCGACCAGAGCATGAGCTTGAGCTGGCCGGTGATGTCGATCGGGACGAAGACAGAGGCCGACTCGTTGGTGATGCTGTAGGTGAAGTACACCTCGTCGGCGGTGTCCATGTAGTCCGGTACCAGCAGTCCCTTGGTCCTCGGATCCATGTTGATCAGAGCCGTCAGCGCCAACACGAGCTCCTCTAGTCTCCCGGACGTCCATGACCAGTACTTCACGATCGGGGCGTTGCGAGTTGTGAGCTGCGTGAACCCGTTGGAGTCGATGTTGATGGAGTACGAGCCGGGGCTTGGATCGACCAGGCTCTTCTTGGAGATGAACTGGCGGCTGAAGTAGTTGCCACCGGCGAGCTTGTTCCAGCCGATCTTGGCGCCCGGAAGCCCGACGTCGGTTGGGTAGTCGAAGCTTTGCCACAAGTAGGAGCTGGTGGGTACTGCAGTGGATTGGGTTTCTGGTAGGAGGGCAAGGTTGCCGGTGTTCATGAGGACGGCATGGACGCTGCTAGCGTTTGTGGTGCTATTGGTGACAGCAGAGGACCAGATTGGGGATTCATCGGTGCTGGTGTTGTTGGTGACGATGAGTTTGTTGCCATCTCTGGAGATTCTGAGCTGGGCTACCTTGAGCTCGGATTCAGTGATGGGTCTCTCCCGGTTGGCGATCCAGACCGGGGTGCAGACCGGGATCTTGTTGAACCAGACGCCAAGGTACCAGCCGGGGGAGGAGACGGTGCTGTTGGTGGCGGCGCCGCCGCCCTTGCCACTGCCTGGCAGGGTTTGGCGGAACTGGAAGAAGCCGAGCGCGAACTTGCCGCTGCGGGAGACGAGCTTGCCACCGGCGGCTAGCGCCTGGCCTGCCGCGAGAGTGCCACCGTCAGCAGCAGCAGCAGGAGTGTGCAGTGAAGAGAAGAAGATGAGCGCAGCAGCTAGTGCTACGTAGAGGGGGGTGGGAGGCAGCATAGCCGGAGCACGCGAGGCAACTGGGGAGACGATGATGGCGGAGAGGAGTAGGAGCACACATCAATAATAATAGTGTATCATAAACGCATAGAGACAGTGGCGTGTGTGCTGATATGCTGCTGTCCTGGGAAGCACAGCTACGTATTGTGCATAAAGAAAACCAGAGATGATGAGCTGAATTGCACAACCAGTAAGGCAGTAAGCAGAATTAGAAACTCTAGTGCTAACTGTTGAGTTGTGATCCAAATTCAGTTATGTATAAGATAAAGGCTAACTTCTGCCGGAGCGAAGCGAGCCCCGTCGCCGGGAGGCTTGGACCGAAGTAAAGCGGTCTCTTAAAAACTAGAGTCGATGATTTCAAAATAAGATATACATTCGAAGCCCAAAATATTACTAAATCTATGAAAACCTATATGTCTTTCACTAGCTCCCCTGTCCGCCAGGAGGGTTTCAAGTGTGTGGTGAACTTTGGAGGTAAAAAATGCACGGCTATTCCTTTTTTTACAAGGAACAGATAACTGAAGCAGCATTATTCAATGCTAGAAATCAAAATTCTTTGTTTTAGTTTTTTCAGAACGTTACCTTAGCACAATTGCATTGGCCGGCACAAAGGACGATAAATCATGCACGTTCGACCATGTTCCTACCTAGGGACAAATGCATGTCAGGAAAATTATTATATGACATTGTGGAAGATGCTCATCGGGCCGGGTACGCAGAAGATGCTCATTGTTGAGGGTTGTGGACTCCAGTGAGCTTGTCAAATGATTGTTGAGTTGTGATCCAAATTCAGTTATATACAAGATAAATGCTAACTTTTGTCAGAGCTAAGCGAGGCCCGTCTCCGGGAGGCTTGGGCCGAAGCGAAGTAGTATGGATCGTCGCCTATTAGGGTTTTTCATCTCTATATATACCTCTTGTAAACCATCGTCTTGGGATAAGAAAAGTTGTAAATCCTCGACGTTTGTAACCTCACCCGATATAGTGAAGATTTGCTAGTTGGTGCCCGTGATTTTTCCCTTCTTCCTTGGAAAGGTTTTCCACGTTAAAATCTCGTGTCCCCTGTGTTTGATCTATTGTTCTTCGTCGTTTGTATTGCCTATCGTTTCTAACAAGTGGTACCAGAGCTTGGTTTCACATTAGGGTTTCGCGATGGCATCGATGAAGTTTGATCTACCGCTGCTGGATTACAAGATGAGATTTGCGCTGTGACAAGTCAAGATGCAGGCGATTCTG